GGCCTGAGCAGCGTCTTAGTGTCTGCCTAGGGCCTGACGTGTAACTCATGTGTATGCTGTTAAGTAGCATTCCAAATGTGCTCCCATTCATCCATAATGACCTCTACCATGGGTTGTGGTTCCATTCTGCTTCATCTTTAAGTCCTGGTACTAGTCTCCTCACTCTCCCACAGGCTTTATGCTTCCCACAGGCCTTCTTCCTTACCATGGGATCTATACCTTTCCATGGGTTCTATGCCTCACCATGAGCTCTGTGCCTTTCCACAGGCTGTATACCTTATCATGGGCTTTATGCGTTACCATGGGCTCTATGCTTTTCCATGGGCTCTATGTCTTACCATGAGCTTTACACCTTGCACCAGGCTCTATGCTTTTCCCTAGGCTTTAGGCCTCAGGCTCCAGTGGGTGCATGGGTGACAACCCCCACTCTCTTCCACTCCCATACCTCCTTGGCATCCTTGGTAGGCATTCAAAAAATATCAAAGTTCCAAATTCTTTGGACTTTGATATTTCCAGTCGGGCTGTTCCATTTTCAAGTCCAAGTCTGATGGGTTTTTTAGAAGATAAGACAAGAGCAAGTTGGGAGGAATAAAAGAAATTTCAGAACCCATGGTATGGGAAAAGTAAGACTAGATGGGGCCTTCACCTCATGCCAGAGTGTAGTCAGTGGCGACTGGAATCTTCTCGCAAGAATCATGACAGATATCCCTAGTCCATGGTGAGTGATTGTTCCCCCAAGACCTTCTGAAGGTCTTCCTTTGTTCCGTCTGAGGAGGGGGAATGACTGCTATATTAGATCCTCCTGGGGAAGGGGAGCAGTGGCTAGAGTCTACACAAGGTGCCTTGAGGAGACAGAAGCCAATTTCTTACCAATTCGCTAATTTGGAGATCAAGTCCAGTGTGCATGTGGTTGGGAGATCCAACAAGAGGTTTCAAGCTGGAATTCGTGTGAGAGCAGAAAGATGAGCAAATAAGCTCACAGTTAATTGTGTTGCTTGGGGAAGAAGAGACAAAATTAGAAAGAGGGAAGAGGGGGAAAGAAATTTGGAGTGAGAGTTCAGCCAAACTAGGAAAGCATGGCTGGGGGCACCATGAGAGCTGGGCAGTCATGGTCAACTTGTGGTCCTTACCTGCAGCTCACCACAGAGAGGAAAGCAAGATGTGGGACTCGGGAGAGAGCCATGCCTTCTCTCAGAAGATATTGGTTCTTTTGGCATAGGGTAGGTTGGTGTAAAGTCTGACCAGGTGGAGGGAAATTAGCAAGCTCTTTCATGAGCAGCTTCTGCAATGACTGCCTACAAGCCATATGAACTTTTGGGAGGACCATTTTGGGCAAGGGGACTGGTCTCTTGAACCCATTCTGGGTTCAGCACCACCTGTTAGAACAAAGCAACAAGACAAAGAGGAGACAGACTGTGAACTAAACAGTCAGAATAGGTTTATTAAAAGAAACCTAAAAAGGGACACCCTACTTTGTGAGGGTAGTGTGGGTGGTAGAGAACTCTGTTCTCTTACAGACTGAGGTTTATATTGATAAGGTAGCTGAGTGTCATGAGTGGCTGGCTATTAGGCAGGGCTGAGCTGGTTTGCATGGGCTTCTTTGGCAGGCGTGGGCTAACTGATGAGGCAAGATTGAGCTCATTGGGAAATATTGCAGAGGGTTGGGAAGTTTCTCTATGGAGCATGGTTGAGATCTATTGTCAGTCATGCAGGCAAGGAACTGATAAGTGGTGGGGTGCTTTATATCTGCTTTCCTTCTGCTCCATCAGTTCTCAGATAGAGTCACACCATTTGCTCCTTGGTTCTCAGGAGTTTGTACTCTAAATCACACCATCAGAGTTCCTGCTTCTCAGACCTACAGATGGCAACTCTTAGAAATCCCATGCTCCCATAACCAGGTGAAGCAATTCCCACAGTAAGTCAATACATACATATATACACACATACAGATATAAATATACTCATAAATACGGATATTTCTTTTTCTGGACCCAGATCTCTCTAAGAACTTGAAGATAATTTTCTGAAAATATAAAACTGATGGAAGATTACACCTCTACTGTAATCAAAAGGTTCTAAACCTTAAAAGCAAACCCCTCACCAAAAGTTGTAAAATACATTCTGAACTTACAATCTATATATGGCATACTAAAATTCCCCTTCTGCAAGTACATTTTAACAATGTCCAGTGTTTTATAATGCACGGCACTTCATAGTAACCAATAGTTAACCTAACAAAAATGGGCTCAATTTTTCCTCTAATTTTAATACTTCCAAATAGGGTTTATAAGTCTAAAATCAAATGTGTAACTCAGTAAACACTACAATTTTTAGAAATGTTGCATGATTTGGGGCTGGTGTTGTGGCATAAGTGGGTTAAACTGTTGCTTGTGATGCTGGCATCCTGCATGGGTACCTGTTTGAGACCTCGCCGCTCATCTTTCAATCCTGTTTCCTGGTATAGCCTGGAAAAAGTAGCAGAAGATGGCCCAAGTGATTGGGCCCTGCCACCCACATGGGAAATGCAGATGAAGCTTGTGGCTTCTGGCTTCATCCTGGCCTAGCCCTGCCCATTTGGCCGTCTGGTGTATAAATCAGCCGATAGAAGATTCTCTCTCTCTCTCTCTCTCTCTCTCCTCCACCCTCCTCTATAGCTCTGATTTTCAAATAAATAAATACATTTTTAAGAAAAATTACATGATTAAAATTAAATTTGGGGATGGTGTTGTGGCACAGTAGGTCAAGCCACTTCTCATGATGCTGGAATCCCATATGAGTGCCATTTTGAGTTCCAGGTGCTACACTTCTAATCCAGCTCTCTGCTAATGCATGTAAGAAAACAGCATATGATGGCTCTAGTGCTTGGCCCCTAGCATCCATATGGGAGGCCTGGATGGAGTTCCAGGTTCCTGGTTTTAGCCTGACCATTTAGGGGGTGAACCAGTAACAGAAGATTCTATCACTTTCTCTCTCTCTCCCTCTCTCTGTAACTCTTACCTTCAGATAAGTAAATTGATCTTAAAAAATAAAATTTAATTTAATGAAACTAACAGGCTAACTGCAATTCTCATAGCCAAAGCTTCTACCCCTTGTTCTACTGAACCTGCACTTTCCCTACTTAAAAAGTCCTACAATATGTCCCTGAGAGTGATTGCCATCAGGCTAAATAACAAGGAATATTTTCATGTGTATAACCTAACCTCTCGTTTGACCTTCAATAAACATAGACTGCCAATCCTTACCAACTAAGCTATTCACTCCACATAAATAAAACTTGATAATGTTTTCTGGAAAGGACAGAAGTAGAAAAGCCTTGTAGCTTCTTAGACTGTTGAAGTTATCCTAACAAAATACCTTAAACTGGGTCATTTATAAATAGTACAATTTATTTATCACAGTTATGGATGCTGGGAAGCCCAAGATCAAGGAACCTGCAGACGTGATATCTGATGGGGAACTGTTCTCTAAAATCCAAGTGTAGCAGAATGGACAATCTCCCTTGGCCCTCATTTATACAAAAATTATTCCCATTCATGTGATTTACATCTTCATAAGTCAATCACTTCTTAAATGATGCCACTTGTAAGCCTGTTATAGTTGGGTTTAGTTTTTTTTTTTTTTTAATAAATGCTTTTTTTGGAGGGTATGATGGATTAAGACCATAGCAAATCACCAAAAATCTTACAAAGTACTCCAAGTACTCCTGATGTTACTGTACAGAAGTAAAATGTAGAGGAATTGATTTTTAGATATGGTTTTATAAGCAAAAACATCTGTACTCAAAGGCAAGAATTGGAAAGTCATACACATTAAAATAAATTAAACTAAAATTTTTAGGAAATATCTATAAATAGACAGGCCTCAGAAGTTGGTTGTCTGACTCAACATCATAAAATAAGACAATTTTCCCTTAAATACCACAAAAACCATATTTCTCACATTTTCAATTGCATATTCCTTTTGTTTAATTTTATGTGTATGATTTATTATACCTTTTTGAACTGTTCTATCCTTATGTCTCTTACTGAAAATAGTAACTTTCAAGGAGAGCTTTCGGTCTAAAGTCTAGTTCAGATGCTTGTGTTCAAAATCAGAAAGCCTGAGTTTGACTCCCAGATTTGGCTTCTCTTTTTAAAGATGGATTTATTTATTTGAAAGGCAGAGTTACAGAGAGAAAGAGAAAGAGAGAAAGAGACAGAGAGTGATATGTTTCATCTACTGGTTCTCTCTCTAAATTGACACAATGTTCAGAGCTGGGCAAAATTGTATCCAAGAACCAGGAGCTTCTTCAGGGTCTTCAGCATGGGTGCAGTGGCCCAGCACTTGGGTCATATTCCACTGCTTTCCCAGGCACAACAGTGGGAGCTGAATCAGAAGTGTAGCAGTTGGGACTCCAACTGGTACTCATATGGGATGCTAGCACTGCAGATTGTGGTTTACCTAACTGCACAACAGGGCTGGCCCAGAGCTTTGACCTCCTATTCCCGCTTTCTGATCATGAGAACCCTTGGAAGCTGTGGTAACGTCTCAAGTAGTTGTTCTCTTGTCACTTGCACAAAGTTCACTTTGGCCTCCAGCTGTTTGTTGGCTTTTGGGGAATAAAAAAACAATTTAAGGTTTACAATACCCTATACTTTGTGAGGTTGTGTGAGGGCATCCTGTGGAAATCCTTGCTTAGTGTATACTAAGGTGATCTTCTGTATATGAAGGTAATTGAAAATGAAACTCAATGAAGGGCGGGATGGGAGAGGGAGTGGGGGAGAGGAGGGCCTCAGGAGGGAGGGAGGTGGGGGGGGAAGGCACAACAATACAAAAATTGCAGTTTGTAAATTCACATTTATTAAATAATAAAAAAAATTAAAAAAAAAGGTTTCTGGCCCTTTGATTCTCAAATAATTAGATGAAGTTAAATAACAGCAACTCCCATGAGTTTTGCTTTACCAAAAATTTTCATTTATTAAAGTCTACAATGTAGCTATAAAATTTTTTTGTTATCTTAGGCAATCTGAAGAATTTTGGGATTTATCAATTACATATCAACTCTTGAAAAAATTCAAGTAATGACAAAATCCAAAACTGATGCCACTAAAATATATTCTGTTCATGGATCTTCCTTTTTTAATTGTGCTTATTTATGGAATACAGTATGCATGTATTAGGTGTATGAAAATCAGAACAGGTTAGTTAACATTTCTATCTTCTTAAACTTTCAAAACTTTTTACTAACATAATCATTTTATATATTTATTGGGTACCATGTGATATCTACAAGTACACTTAGCAACTCATGGTAGTTAATGTATTTTTTCTTTGTCCTTACTTTATGATAGGAACATTTGAGCTGCTTTCCTCTATTTTCCCTGAAAATATGTAGTAGGTTATTTTTAACTTTATCAAAACATGGTTTTGTAGAAGGAATGTGTTCCTAGTTTTCCACAGCACAGTAGGTTGAATAGAGTTATCAAGGATCTTCTATTCAACAAATAAACATTAAATCTGATATTTACTTACATACATTCATAACATTACCTATATAATCAATTAGACTTGCTCAACAAAATTGTACCTAGGTAACAATATTGGCTGCATCGTTTGCTTAATAATAAAAGTCTAAAACAATATGACTTAAAGTTGAAGGAGCTGATTATTTGATATTTTTAGGAAAAATGTACATCAAAACGTGTTATTTTTGAACCAAAAATTAAGAGTTAAATTTACACTTTTAATCAGTAACTTGTGTTTCTTTTTTATGCATAAAACTTGATTCTGAGGCTTGGTTTATAATGAGCCCTAGCATTTATTTATTTTATCTTGGAATGAATTAATTGCAATACTTTTTCTTGGTGCCTGACAATAAGAAAACATTGTTCCCAAACACAAGAAATTGAAAACTACAGCATTGTTTTTCTTCTTCTTCCTCTTTTTCTTTATGAATGACAGGATCCTCTCCTTTTTCAGAAATGCCTAGTTTATCTAGGGACAGATCAGTCTGAGTGATCTTCAGTGTATAATCAGTCTGCATCCTGCAAACACTTCCTCTTCTCCCAGAGGCAGGTAGAAAATTCACAGATCAGATTTTTCACTTGGTTATAAAATCATGTTAAAAGAGAAGGAACACACTGTTCTATCTTCTTCAGCTCTTCCAGGTAATTTTTGATATGATTCCATACTTACTGATATCTATTTGCAAGCCCAAGTGTCAGTGGAAACATATCAGCATTTATGTCTTCAAGATAATTTTCCCTGAAAGTTTTTTCTTTTAAATTGAAGAATCTCATCATTTGAAATAAAAACATTTTCTCTAGGAGATATATCTCAAGGAGATAATAGTTCAAGTGATATAAAATATATTGCTAACTGGGTAAGTTTCTCCAGTTATTCTTCCTTTTTAAAGGGCTCTGGAAAATACAGCCTGTGATTTTCTTTAAAACTCCTACAATTCACATTTCAACTCAAACACCTGAAGAACTTGTTAATAACCTTTCTTTTTATGAGCCAGTGACGTCTATATGTAGCAGTAGACTTACATTCTCTCTACCCATTTTCTTACACAGTATTTTAAACTTTTATGGGTGAAATACTTTTTAATTTAAAGTTAAGCACATCTTGGCATTACCCAGAACTATTTTCTTTTCAACTACAAAAATTTTGACACTAGCATCTCACTGGAAAGGAGCAATGCATTAAATCTGAAATTTCTTTTCTTATAAAGGAATCACAATCTCTCATGAAGACAAACATCACTCCAGATGCACACACATACACACACACCAAAAAAAAAAAAAAAAAAAAACAAAAAAACAAAAAAACAAAACAAAACAAAAAAACACCACCAACATAAACCCTCCAACACATACATTTTACTTGCCAACCAGGAATATAAACCATTAAATACCTCTTGCTATTTGTTTCAGGCTATTATTTGTGGTGGACAAAGTTGTATTGAATTTCACCACTATGTGCAAATAGGACAATATCACAGGATGGTATTTCCGAGTGAAATCTGTTGACTCATCGATCTGGACTGAGAAGACATGCTTTGCAGTTTATTACATGAAAACCCTTCAGCTCAGGTGACATATCATCAATACGTTAATGTATTCTATTCTGTGAGTGGAACACTGTCATATCCTCATTTTGCATTTCATGCCACCATATTCTACCTAATTTTACATGCTGTTACTTAGTGCTTAGGAGTTGTGTGACTTTTCCTTTTCTGGCCAGTAAGTCCTGTACCTTAAAAAATTGCTTGTTGAGCCTTATAGTAAATATTCAATTGTTAAACAAGGGCTTTTCTCTGTTGAGAATTAAATGTTTGTTGAATCTGATCAGAATTTTCAATGGCAAAATGCTGTCTTCTTGTAGATATCTGTCTCTTCAGTTGTGTTGGAATTATTACTGTTTTTAAAGCTTTTTGTTGATAGCAACACAGTGGAATGGGGCTTCTGAGATTACTACTCCATGCAAATCTGTTGATAAAGGCTTCTGATTCTCCTTATATTAGTTGTGTTCGTATGTTTCTTACGACATTGGTGCTATGGAATCCCTTACGGGATTGTGATTCTTCATCACTGACCTGGTAAGAATTCTTTGCCAGCCTAGCCTTGAATTCCCTTATTTTGCCTAAATTTCACTGTTACCTTATTTTTCAAATAAAAATTCTGTTAATTATAACAATATTAAGTATCAATTTTAAAATCCATTTCAGTTAGTCAAATTGAAATTTTGTAGGTATATTTTGTAAAAAGTGAAAAGAACTAACATTCTTGTGGCTTCTATTATACATTCTCTTTTTTTCTATTTTTTTTAACTTTTATTTAATGAATATAAATTTCCAAAGTACAGCTTATGGATTACAATGGCTTCCCCCCCATAACATCCCTCCCACCCGCAACCCTCCCCTTTCCCACTCCCTCTCCCCTTCCATTCACATCAACATTCATTTTCGATTCGCTTTATATACAGAAGATCAGTTTAGCATACATTAAGTAAAGATTTCAACAGTTTGCTCCCACACAGAAACATAAAGTGAAAAATACTGTTTGAGTACTAGTTATAGCATTAAATCTCAATGTACAGCACATTAAGGACAAAGGTCCTACATGAGGAGATGAGGAGTAAGTGCACAGTGACTCCTGTTGTTGACTTAACAAATTGACACTCTTGTTTATGGCATCAGCAATCACCCTAGGCTCTTGTCATGAGCTGCCAAGGCTATGGAAACCCCCTGAGTTCACCAACTCTGATCATATTTAGACAAGGCCATGGTGAAAGTGGAAGTTCTCTCCTCCCTTCAGAGAAAGGTACCCACTTCTTTGATGACCCGTTCTTTCCACTGGGATCTCACTTGCGGAGATCTTTCATTTAGTTTTTTTTTTTTTTTTTTTTTTTTTTCCAGAGTGTCTTGGCTTTCCATGCCTGAAATACTCTCATGGGCTTTTCAGCTGGATCCGCATGCCTTAAGGGCTGATTCTGAGGCCAGAGTGCTGTTTAGGACATCTGCCATTCTATGGGTCTGCTGTGTATCCACTTCCCATGTTGGACCGTTCTCTCCCTTTTTGATTCTATCAGCTAGTATTTGCAGACACTAGTCTTGTTTATGTGATCCCTTTGGTTCTTAATCCTATCATTATGATCAATTGTGAACAGAGATTGATCACTGGGACTAGTGAGATGGCATTGGTACATGCCACCTTGATGGGATTGAATTGGAATCCCCTGGTATGTTTCTAACTCTACCGTTTGAGGTAAATCAGCTTGAGCATGTCCCGAATTGCACATCTCTTCCCTCTCTCATTCCCACTCTTATATTTAACAGCAATCACTTTTCAGTTAAGTTTCAGCACTTAAGAAGAATTGTGTATTGATTACAGTATTCAACCAAAAGTATTAAGTAGAACAAATAAAAAAAAATACTAAGAGGGATAACATATTAAGTTGTTCATCAACAGTCAGGGTGAGGGTTGATCAAGTCACCGTTTCTCATAGTGTTCATTTCACTTTAACGGGTTTTCTTTTTGGTGCTTAAGTCCAAACTTAGAGAAGAGAAGGGGGAGGAAGGAAGGGAAAAAGGAGAGAGTTAGCGATGTGTAACTATATTCTTAGAATTTAATCTATGAACTACCTTAACTCTGTCCTCTTTATATTTATAAAAAGTTAATAAATAAAAAAGTAAAAAATAAAAAGTTAATACTTAAGGTAAATTAATTTATTTTATTATTGTTCATATAATCACAAAGTTTTATAAAGCAAAGGTTTTGCTAAAATAATATGCTCTGTTTCTAAAAGTTCTACTCATCAAAAAAAATTTTAAAGTATAATTACCTATTATAAAGGCAGAGTTAGAAAGAAAGAAAGAGAGAGAGAGAGAGAGAGAGAGAGAGAAAGAGAGATCTTCCATCCTCTGGTTCACTCTCCAAATGACTACAATGGCTGGAGCTAAACCAATCTGAAGCCAGGATCCAGAAGCCTCTTCCAGCATATGGATGCTTTCCCAGGCACATTAGCAGGGACCTGGATCAAAAGTGGACCAGCTGGGACTCAAACCAGTGCCCATATGGGTTGCTGGAGTCACAGGCAGTGGCTTTACCTGCTATGCCACAGAGCTAGCCTCTACTTATCAAAATTTTTAAAAAGCTTAATTTCTCTATCAGCTACATTGCTGATCTCCTCAGTACATTAAAATTAAATTATTTTATATTAATTTGTAACTAATCTTTCTAGTTATGGTTGTTTTATTTTAAAATTAGTTAGAAATCTTAAGGCCACATATGTGAGAAATGGAACAACAAAACAAGCAGCATTTTGGAGCATTCAGATGATTTAAATTACTAAAGAGAAAACTTCCAAATGGGGAGACACTGAGATACATTGCTTTAACAGCAAGAGAGGGAAATTGATCAAATCAAAAAATAAAAGACTGAATCTGTAAAAGATTTAATTATAAAATCTATTATTATTCTCTCAGATTTTCCAGGTTGAAGAGAAAAAAGATCTTCAGATGTAGAGATTTATATCCTCTTCTAGAATGCGATGAGCTGAGAAGTTATAAGATTTTAAATTAAAAAAATTACGAAAACAATCTAAACTGTCATTTTATTTAATGATATTTTATTTAAAATATACTCATAAGAAAAAAAGCAAAATTGAATGTAAAGATATTTCTCTGAAAATTGTTTATAATAAAATTATTTAGAATTTCAACTTAAAAATATAATATTTAGAACATCAGAGCTCTTCAAAAGTTCCTTGAAAATGAAATCCATGCCTAGTTTTTTCATGATAAACATTTTCCACATATTGTCAAAACATTTTTTGCACCAAAATACATACCTACATTGTAATTCCATTTTTCCACTAATTTCTTGAAATCTGTTTTAACTGTAAGTAGGAACATTTGCTGAGATACTCAAATACTTCAGTGCTAGCAGGCAGAATGTTTTCTCAGCTCAATATTTGATGGTATATAGAAAGGCTTATCTGGGGAGTGAGAATACAAACTTGTGTGGGGCCAGTGCTCTGGCATAGTGGATAAAGCCGCCACCTGCAGTGCTGGCATTCCATAAGGGCACCAGTTCCAGTTCCAGCTGCTCCACTTCCTTTTTTTTTGCCCCTAGTTTTTAGAAAACTTTTATTTAATAGATATAAATTTTGAAAGAACAACTTTTGGATCATAGTGGGTCCCCCCATATCCACCCTCCCACCTGCAAACCATCCATCTCCTACACCCTCTCCCATCCCATTCTTCATTAAGATTCATTTTAATTATCTTTATATACAGAAGATCAACTTAGTATAGACTAAGTAAAGATTTCAACAGTTTGCACCCACACAAATACACAAAGTATAAAGTATTGTTTTAAGACTATTTTTACCATTAATTCTCATAGTACCAAACATTAAGGACAGAGACCCTACATGGGGAGTAAGTGCACAGTGACTTCTGTTATTGATTTAACAATTGACACTTATTTTTGACATCAATAATCACCCAAGGCTCTTGTCATGAGCTCCCAATACTGCAGAAGCCTCTTGAGTTTTCCAACTCTGATCTTATTTAGACATGTCCATAATCAAAGTGGAATTTCTCTCCTCCCTTCAAAGAAGGTACCTCCTTCTTTGATGGTGCATTATTTCCACGGGGATCACACTCACAGTGATCTTTCATTTCGGTCTTTTTTTTGCCAAGTGTCTTAGGCATGATCTGAATGCCTTAAGGGGTGATTCTGAGGCCAGAGTGCTGTATAGTGCATTTGCCATTCTATGAGTTTGCTGTGTATCCCACTTCCCATGTTGGATCATTCTCTCCTTTTTAATTGTATAAATTATTATTAGCAGACACCAGACTTGTTTATGTTATCCCTTTGGCACTTAATCCTATCTCTATGACTAATTATGAACTTAAACTGATCACTTTAACTGGTAAGATGGTATTGGTACCTGCCAACTTAAGGGGATTTGGGAGTCCCATTGCACGTTTCTATCTTTACCCTTAGGGGTAAGTCCAAGTGAGTGTGTGCCGAACTCTACATCTCCTCTCTCTCTTATTACCACTCTTATTTTTAAAAGGGATCAATATTCAGTTGGATTTAAACTCCTAAGAATAATTGTGTGTTAATTAAAGAGTTCAACCAATGGTATTAAGTAGAAGAGGAAATTACTAAAAAGAATAAAATAGTAAGCTGTTCCTTGACAGCCAGGTCAAGGGCTGATCAAGTCATTGTTTCTCATAGTGTCAGTTTCACTTCTACAGGTTTCCTTTTAGGTGCTCAGCTATTTGACACAGGTCAGGGAGAACATATGATATTTGTCCCTTTGGGACTGGCTTATTTCACTCAGCATGATGTTTTACAGATTTCTCCATTTTGTTGCAAATGACTGGATTTCATTTTTTTTTTTAGCACTGTGCAGTATTCCATAGAGTACATATCCCATAATTTCTTTATCCAGTCTTCTGTTGATGGGCATTTTAGGTTAATTTCATGTCTTAGCTATTGTGAAATGAGCTGTAATAAACATTGAGGTGCAGATAGCTCTTATATTTGCCAATTTAATTTCTCTTGTGTAAATTCCAAGGAGTGGGATGGCTGGGTCATTTGGTAGGGCTATATTCATTTTTCTGAGGAATCTCCAAACTGTTTTTCAAGTGGCTTTAATCCAGGTCTCTGCTGTGCCCAGGGAAGGCCTTGGAAGATGGTCCAAATCTTTGGGCCCCTGCACCTGTGTGAGAGACCCAGAAGGAACTCCAGGCTCCTGGCTTTGGATTGGCGCAGCTCATGCCGT